AAACTTGTGGTGATCCTCCTGCCTCAGCCTCCCGAGTGGTGGGATTACAGTTGTGTGCCATCATGCCTGGCTGGTGGGTGAATTTAAACTGTTCACTAGGCAGACTGTTCCAGGTCCTTTTATCCTTACTAGAATCTCCTTACATTCATCTGCTATTGGACTGGGGAAGATCCCACCCAGTTTCACTGGCTCACGTTACTGAGCCCTGCTTTCCAGTGAACATGTCTTAGGAATCTACTGTTGTCAGGTACCTCATTTACCCACTGTGTCCCTCTGCTTCTTCTAGCACAGATGCTGACCCATGCAGCTTTCCTTACTATTAGCAGTTTGTAGTTTGCTTGTACTGTTGAGGAAAACTTGTCACCTAATTTTATGGTAAAAGTATTTTTATTTATTTATTTATTTTTTCACGTTTGCTCAATATTTTCATGTGAGGATTCAGAAAGATTCAAAAACCATGAAGCCAACATCCTAACCACCACCTTCTCAGAATGTGGTAATAGTTTTAAGAGTTAGCTTGTTGTTATGGCTTGTGTTTGGATGTCCCTTCAAAGCCTCATGTGATCACAGATGGGGCTTTTTCAGAGGTGGCTGGATCTACAGTGTGTCTTGCTGTGATTGTCTCATGGTGCAGTGCTAAGATCAAGGGCACTAGGATTAAGGGTGTGAGTGCTGCCCACCCCTCAGTAGTCTGGATAAAATAAAAGGGCAAAAAGATGCTGTTAAGGCCCCTTCTTGCTTTTGCTGTCTTCTGCCACTATGAACTGTTGCCCCTCTGCCATGTGCCACCCTGCCTTGGAGCCAGCCAATTATGGGCTAAAACCTCTGCAAACTGCAAGCCAAATAAACCTTTCCCCCTTTAACTTTGGGTGTTGGGTATTTTGTCTCAGCAAAGAGTAAAGTTACTGACACATATAGTTTACCATGCTCTCTTCCCCATCTTTCCAATAGGAGACGCATGATTCAAAATGTAGCCTCTAAGCAGGGCTTGGTGGCACTCTGTAATCCCAGCTAAGGCAGGAGGATCTCAAGTTCCAGCCCAGACTGGGCAACTTAGCAACTTAGTGAGACCTTCTCTCAAAATAAAAAATGGGCTGGGGGTGTAGCTCAGTGCAAAGGCCCTGGGTTCAATCCCCAGAATCACACACACACACACACACACACACACACACACACACAGTCTCTTTTAGCCTATTTTAGTCCCTGAGTTATCATGAGTAGAGCTTGCTTCGTGGCTGCTAATGGACACATAGTGTGAGTGAGAAATAAATTTTGTTGTTTTGAGCCATTTAAGGTTTGGGGTTTTTCTATTAGCACAGCATAATCTAATATTTCTCCAGACTTAGAGAGTGTTATCTTTCTCCCTGAGCCAATTCATTTAGTTGACCTGAAGGTGGGCACCATTAATAGGGTGAAAACAGGGTGATAGGAAGAACTATGGGGCCCCAAAGGGGAAAAAACGCAAAGAAAAAAAGCAGTTTGAGAATGATGTCTAGGACATAAGAATAGAAAGCTTATTTTGGGGGGAACTTTATTGCCAAAGAAACCACACACCCTCTGCCCATGAAGTGTGAGCTGTACCCCTGGAGTTAGTGTGGTACTGCTGATTTAAATTACCCACTATAGCATATTTCTAGCTATGGCCTCTTAGAAGCCAAGAGGTGCTGAGGCCATTTCTATTTTTTGAAGTGTGGTCTCCAAAACATTCTAAAAATCATGATTACTAAGAATAGCCTTTAGGGACTGGGTGTGTTTGGGTTATAGCTCAGTGCCAGAGCTCCTGCCTTAATGACGTGAGGTCCTGAGTTTGGTCCCTTGACTAGACTTTCTTTTTCTGCCTTTAAGCTTCCAGTTACCCCATGTTAGATATCAGATGAAGTATTTAGCACTCTTGCCAAGGATTTAGCTCAGTGGTTCTGTCGTCTGCCTCGCAAGCACAAGGACCTGAGTTTGATCCCCATACCAAAAAAAAAAAGTATTTAGCACTCTTGATGTTTGAAAGAACAGAAAACCCAACTCAAACTTCCTTTTCAGATATCCACCATCACCTTGCTCAACCAGCCTTATATTTGCTTGTTGGGGTTGTGAACAAAAGGGTGGTAGAGACCGATGCTACTTAGCATTATGGATTTCAGGTCTCCAAGAGAATCAAGGGAGGGAGATTATGGCAGTGGGGATGGAGGATGTGAGGCCTGTATTGCAGAAACAACCTTAATGTGTTGGAAGAACAGAAAGCAGGCCACTGTGACCGGAGACAGGTAAAAAGGGCTGATTACATAGAGCTTTCTTGGCTAGTGTAACAGGATCCCAGGGGAAGTGTGGTGGATTAACTAATGATCAACTTGTAACACCCAGCTGAACTGAATCAGCATGGTTGGGTGTGGAAAACCCACCTGAAGATTCTTGGCAACGCCATAAAAAGAGAACTGGAGGGGAAGATTGTGAGCTGTTGATTTTTCTAGGGCAAGCCTGCTGCAGTTGGTTTTCCTGATGTGAACTTGGCTGTTCTCCTTGGAGGAGGAGCTTGGGGCCTTGATGTTGCTGTCACTGGGAATAGCTGCTGTTCTCATCAGGGGAGCTCTGATCTTCACCGTGAGCATCACTTTCTGGCTCTAGAGTAGATCCCTCAGCCTGGTGGCACAAATCTTTCACCCCAACAGCACAGGTTTTCTGGCTTCCACCACTGGCCCTTGAGCTTTCCTGGTGCAGGTCCTCAAAATGGACAAGCTTGAGACATTGCTGTGGGCTCTAAGCCACTGGCTGGACTTGTGGAGGACATTGCCTTGGACTCTAGGCCTTCAGCTGGACTTGTGAGGGACACTGTTGTGGGATCTAGGCCCTTGGCTGGATTCTTTGGGTCTCTAGTGTGCAGCTACATCTCTTGTACTCTCCTGTATTTGACTTTTTGGGTGACGTATCAAATAACCCTATAAATTGTGTGTCCTGTATTAAATCTATTCCCTTGCAAACCCTGACTACAGCAGGATTTCAAGCAAGATAGTACATTAGTCCTCCCTTATGCATGGGAATATCTTCCAAAACCCCTAGTGGATGCCTGAAACCATGGATGGCAGCAAACTCTATAGTTTAATGCCATTTCCATCTTAATGAAGCACAAATCACACACTGGGGCCATAACTTTTGCAGTTTGAGGTGTGATGGCAAAACCAGAACAAATTTCTTTTTCCTTCTTCACACTTCACTGAAAGAGTTGTTTTTACTGTAGATGTTAGCAACTTCTATATGCAATGCCACCCCTTCTGGTTTTTTTTTTGGTACTGAGGAAATCGAACCTGGGACCTTGGGCGCTGGAACCACTGAGCTAAATCCCAGGCCCCACCCCTTCTTATTAGGTTGAGAACGTTCAACCTTTTGCATAAGAGAAGTACTGTATAGTTTCTCTTTGGCTGTCTGATTTTCCAGCATCATCAGTTGTCAAGCAGGTAGCTGGATAAACAAATCCAGAAAAGTCAGCATGGAAGAGTCAGTTATGCCAACCAACCTGAGCCACCCTGAGCCCTTACTGTGATACCTGACCTGGTGTAGGATAGAAGAACCAGCTGATCTAGTTTTTAGCACGAGCATTATGGTTGACTCCTTCCAGAATGGAGCAGACAACGACATATCTTTCCTAGACAAGACACTTGTGCATGGTATGGATTTGCCCTCCCTACTATTGTGGGGCTTCCTGTGAGATTACCAAATACTGTATTATACACAGCCAAGGCATCCTGTATGACACTACTTCTGCTTGCCACACAGTAGTACTCCACTCTGTGTTTTAAAAAGGCTTAAGTAATGGGACATTGGCAGGGGTTGTGGCAAGCAAGGGCCATCATTTTCCACATGGGATTTTCCAGAACCAGAGGGTAGTGATTCAAAAGTGTAGTCCCTGAGGTGTTTCTGTTGCTTTGGAGCCTGAGGGAGGCTGACCCCCCATTTCAACTTCTTCAGTAATATACATTCCACATTATGGACTTTTACATTAGATTTTAACTAGTTTTCCACCATTAAAAAACCCCAAATCAGGCAGGTGGGTATAACGCAGTGGGAGAGCAGGAGCTTAGCATGCTACAATGCGCTGGGTTCAACCCAAGGAGCGCTCCGTTTTCCAGACGAAGACTCTTCAGGGTTCTGTAGCCTCATCCCAGCGAGGCGATGGGCTTTCCCTTTTTAGCTGGGAGCCCTATCACAGCCTTCGTGAGCTTCCAGTGTGTGAGAAGAGCATGGAATCTGAGATGGAGGAACCTGGGGGTGAGCAGCTGCTCCGCGGAGCTGGCCTCTCATCCAGTGGTACAAATCATCGCTCCCGGGGTCCCCAGCTGTGCTTCTGTGAGCGTGGCGTGCAGGACTGCGTGTCCATTCTGAGAAGCTAAGCTTTTTCTGCCCATTTTTTAATCGGCCCATTAATAATGGCAAGACTCGCCCACTATTCACGGAGAATCGGCATAGAGGAGTTCTGGCCAGAGTCCGGGAGCTGTCCACCCACTCCGAGGTCTCCCGCGTGCGTTGGGGGTTTGACTTGAGGGTGCGAGGAGGAAGTCCCAGGTGGGATGGCTGTGGGGTCCGGGGCTGCAATCTCAGCTCAGCGGTCTGCGGCCGCCTGGCCCCGGGGCATAGGTTGCACGCGAGGGCCGGGGCGGGGCCTCGGTGTTGTTGTTGCTCTGCGGCCCCGCCCCGAGGGGGGCGCGGACCACGCGGCCGGAGGGCCCGCCTCCCCTCCCCCTCCCCGCCCAGCTCGCCCGCCTCTTTGTATCCAACATCCGGGTTTCCCCGCTGGCTCGGATCCGCGGCCGCCGCTCAGGAGCCATTTTGGACTCGGTTCAGCTCCCCTCCCCCAACCCCTCCCCCGTTCATGGCCCCTCCGGACTCGGCCCCTGCGCCCGGGGCCCGGGCCCAGCCCCGCTGCGCTATGCCTGGGTCGGGCGCGCCCCGGCCCGTGCCCCGCCGCCGCCCCCCGGCCCCCGCGTCGCCCCGAAGCCCGGGCCGCAGTCTGCGCCGCCCGCAGCGGCCCTGAACCGGAGCCCACACGCTGCCTAGGGACGGAGGCGCAGGAAGCGCGCGCCGACCGTGACCGAAGGAAGGAGCGGGAAGGAGAGCGCCGCTGCCGCCGCCGGGCCCTGCGCTCCCCGGAGCGCCGCGCGGCCCTGCCCGAGGGCTCTGGGTGTCCGCGGGGCGGCGCCGCGGAACATGACGGCGCCCTGGGCGGCCCTCGCGCTCCTCTGGGGATCGCTGTGCGCGGGTGAGGACCGGGCGCGAAGTGGGGAGGGCGCCGCGCGGTGTTTACCAACAAAGGGCGGGCCCGCGGCCTCGTCGCCGCGCCACCTGCCTAGATCGCACCTCCCCGAGCCCGTAGTGGGGACGCGCGCGGGTCTCGGGAACCACTCTGTCCTCTGCGGGATTTTGGTTTGTCGAGGCGCCCCGGGATGGGGATCGCGACCCGGAGCGTCGGGGCCATGGTTCAGGCTGCGCGGATGCGTGGAACCAGGAGAGAGAGTGAGAAGTCGAGCGCGGGGAAGGCGGTCGAGCGGGGCGGGCAGATCTAAGGGGTGGGGGGCGGCGGGAGTGTGGTGCAGCTGTGGCCGGGGGAGGGCTGCGCGTCCCTCAGAGCCTCTGCTAGAGGTAGCGACGCGAAGGGGCGGCTTCACACAGCCAGGAGGATACCCTGCCCCATCCCGCCGGGCTGACCCGCGCTCGGCGCACGGCTGGCTTTGGCGCGGGCTTCCACCTGCGCCTCCTTTCCTTGCTGTGGGCCGCAGATGCAGAGTGCGCTCACCTAGCGGGGCCGCTTTGTTTTGGGCACCTGGAAGGGGAGCGAGGTAAGAAGGAAAACCAACAGGTCTCGGTTCGCCCGGCCTCCCAGAGGCACGTGGCCGGCGTGGGTGACCCGCCTTCAGCTCGCCTGCAGCCTCGGGCGTGTAGCAGGGAGCGGAGCGCTCGCGACCGTCTGTTTGGGTAGATGGGTACTTGCGGGTGGGTACCCGCAGAGTTGCAGGGAAAGCACTTTCCTCTCCAAACCTGAAGCACCCATTTCCTCCTTTTAGTGTGCTGGGGCGTGCCCGAGTAGGGTGGGCGCGTCGAGACTGGCTTGGGGTAGTCCTGAGAAACCGGGGGAGCCTGGCCTTGAAGCTCCAACGAAAAGCTCGGGGCAGCGGGGCAGCTGGTGCCGGGCGGCGGGGCGCTGGGTCTAATGCCTCTTTGTTCCCAACCCCCATTACACATGCAGTGCGGGTCCCCTGCCGCCCGAGGTGGCAGCAGCGCGGAGTCTGGGAAAACCGTGAGGGGCGGGGCTGGGCGGGCAGAGGAGGGGCCGGGATCCCCAAGCTGCTGCGGGGGTGGGGACCGGGGATGTCCAATACATCCCCACCACCCTCCCTCCATTCCCTTCCTGGACTGGATGGTGGAACTTGTCCTTTAACGCTGAGAGCTAGAGGGTTCTCGCTAGGGGCTGGGAAGCTCGGAGCTCGAATGCTGGAACCAGGGGCAGGGAGCGACAACTTCTTTGGTACCTGGGCATACTGTGGGAAGGGGCGTCGCGGCTTGCCTGGAGCCCTTTCCTGGGTGGTGGAGGCAAAGTTGTGTTTGGATTGAACATTTTGTACCTTTCTGAACTCCTGCCTTTTAAGTGCTGCCTTTGAGGGACGTTTTCCTGCACCCAAAAGGAGGGCTTGAAGGGATAGAAAAAGGCAGCTGCAGGCCACCCTGAGGCCATGCAGTAGCCTGTTGCGCTGCCTCTAGGCCATCTGGGCTCCCAATTCTGGTCCAGTCTGGACCCTTAAGCCCAGATCTGTGGGGCACCTTCTCAGGACCAGGGCCTCAGATGTGGGATTGGGGACCACTTCCTACCTCCAGCCTGTTGCAGTCTAGTCCCAGGTCTCACCTTCCTCAAGTGTACGGGGCTGGGTTGATTAGAGCCCTGGGGCCATGTTTCTTGCTACTTCTTGCCCCTAGGGCAGCGCCGAGCAGAGTAACTGTCTAGTTAGGGGACAGCTGATGTCTGACTCCCTGGCCTGTGCTCCTGCCAGGGAGGAAGTGGAGTCAGAGGGGGGTTTCTTGTCACCCCAACCAGTGCTATGGTGGCTGCTGCCTTGTCCTGAGAGGAACTGCAGGAAGAACTGCCCTGGGTCCAGGCTGGGGCAGAGCTGGCCCTCCTGCTCCTTTGGCTTTTGAGTGGCTTTTCCTTCATCTTCTTGTTTGCTGGTACTACTCTCACCTCCTGAAGCACACAGCGACTTGTTAGAAGGAAGATATAGAACAATACTGTACAACAGAAACATAGGATCAACCATATATAGTATATGTAAGTTAAAAATTTCTAGTAGTTAATAGAAGGAATAGCTGCATTTTATTTTATTCTATTTTTATAGGTTTGTTTTTGAGACAGGGTCTCGAAATGTAGTTCAGACTGGCCTTATACTCACATCTTGTGTGTATCTTACATTTATAGAATACCTTATTTCCTACTTTCTGCATTTCAGTTACTCTACTCATGTCTGGCTAGTGGCTGCCATAATGAGCCTAGAAGACATTTAAGCTGTAGTTCAGTGGTTGGTTTGTTCTGCAGTCTTTTGTGATCTGTGTGGCTTTGCATTGCAGTGGACATCTTACATACGCTGTATCTTGTAAGAGTGCCTGACAGCTTTCTCTCACTTGGAGTTCAGATTGGAGGGCCTGTGGGGGCCGGGTGGAGCGTTGTCCTGTGTGGAATATCAGAAGCCTTTGGCTGGGGAGGATCCCATCAGGTCCTGACTGACTGTCTTGAGCTCTCCTCATAGATTGACCACTTTTTTTGGGGGGGTACCAGGGATTGAACTCAGGATCCTGCGCTTTTGAGGCAGGCTCCAGAACCACTGAGCTAAATCCCCAGCCCCTAGATTGACCACTCTTTGACACAAAGATATCTCTTGTCTATTTCCTCAAAAGGGGACAGTGGAGTGACCTTCCACCTTTTGGTCCAGTGTAGTGCTAATTATGAAGGACATGGACTACAGAGCCATGGGCCATAGGTACCCAGCTCCAGGCAGGGAGGATGTCCTCTGCTACCTGCCCTTTTGCTACTGGGCACTCAAGGCTGTCTTGCTGACTGGGTTGTTACCCTTTGGGAGGAATAGGTACCTACCACAGCTTTAGAGGCCCTTCCAAAACAGATGATATAAGACATTCACTTGTCTTCTCCAATCCTGGCTGGGTAAAAATGTCAAATTCAGAACCCCGTGGTACCCTATGTGGGCTTCTATAGTGTATTCCTCTGTGAGTCTTTCTGGGCATCAGAGCTCCCAGATCTATCTTGGCACGTCACCTAAGGAACTCTCTTTGCAGGAGGTCAGTGAAGAGCCCTTTTCCTACCCCATGGACCTTTATGTCACAGGCCCTTCTGGAATCTAAAGAAAGCTATTACATTTCCTCTAGGAAATAATAGATCAATATCTGTATGTTCATGTGTACACTTTAATTTTTGGTCCTACTAGGGGATTGAACCTAGGGCCTTTATGCTGGGGTACATCCCCACCACTTTTTAATTTTTTTTAAAATTTAATTGAAACAAGGTGTCAGTTGCTAAGTTGACAGAGCTAGGCTTGCACTTGTGGTCCTCTTGCCTTAGGCTTCTAGAGTGTTGAGATTATAGGCATGCAACGCTACACCAGGCTATGTACCATACTCTGGTTTCCATATTGAGTGGAGCTCTTTTTCTGAAGTCCTGGCTGCTTCGTATGTAACAGCCCTCTTGAGGGGCAACTTGTACAATGGGCTTGTTCTCACCTGGCTGCCTCTACTTACCCTGTTCTGGCACTGAATATGTCCTCTCCTTTACTTCTGCACTTGTGATTCTGCCTGTTAGTCAGATCCTAGCCCTGGTATCTTCCAGAAGTCTGCCTTCTTGAGTGCCTATGCATTCAGTCCCCTACTTGGGAGTGCAGAGAAATATAAGCGGGAACTGAGGGTCATAAGGTTGGACGTTCTGATTCATGCCCAGGTACTGATACATCCCCTTGGGCTGGGATCTGAGGGGCCCAAGGTTAGGGGCAGTGCTTCTGAAAGTGACTCTGGACGTACAGCCCTGAAGTGGGGGCCTTTTTCTAGAACAGTTCTCAACCTTTGACACTGTTGACCGTTTGGAGGTGGTGATGCTTTGTTGTGTAGATATAGGGTGGTGATGGTGGTGCTGTCCTACGCATTATAGATGTTTAGCAGCATCCCCAGCTTCTACCCACTCATTCCAGTAGTGGCTCTCTTATGACAACTGAGAATAATTCTAAGACATTGTTAAAAGCCCCTGGAGGAGGTAGGGACAAAATCACACTCAGGTTGAGAACCAGGGGTCTGTAATGTTCTCTTGTTTTTAATGAAGCAGACGGTTGTGAGAAATGGGAGTAATGGCTATGAGTGCACATCCATCTTCTTCGTCCCCTCGGATTTAGGGTTGGTGGTTGGATTTTGCTCAGTGTCTAGGAGATTGTGGCTAAACCTCTGTTCAGCGTGTGAGTTTGGTTCAGAATTAGTGGTTTGGGTGTACTGCTTGCCACTGAGCAGAATGCTGGTGTCCTTGAGTTTTCCCAGAAGTAGTTCGGGTTTCAGGGAGGTGGCTGTTGTGGGTGGCCGGGCAGTCTGCCTGCCTGCCTGCACCCGCCCACCCAGTCTGCCTGTTGCCTTGAGCCTGGCACTCATGCCTCTCCCTCCTGCCCACGTAGAATGTCAGGAAGTGCTTGTTGCCCGGGCCTCTCCACCCGCCTGGCACCCGCTCTGCTCACCTGGGAATCCCACGAGCTGAGCTGAGGCTGACCCTATCTGCTGAGAGGAGTGCTGGGGTTGTAGCAGGACGCAGGCATGCCCTTTCCCCCAAGCGGGCCTGCTGTATGGCACTCTGAGGAGCCACAGCGGCTGTGGGCCTGGGGCTTCCAGCCTGGGGACACCAGGGCAGGGGGGCAACCTTCCCTCAAAGGTACGGGCACAAGTCTTTCCCTTCTCAGGGTGCCGTGGCTGGATTAGAACCTAAGGGCAGGGCCAGGCTTCCTCCCCTGGACCTGGGGAGTGTGGTGGGCAGCACTGCCTGAGATGGGTGCCAGCTCTGGTGGCTTTGACGGACTCACTTAATCTCTACAGGGACCTGTGCATTGGGCGTGGCAGGCTGGCTACCCCACGGTTGCCCTCATATTTGTTTTCTACCCCCCTGGCCTCTGCTGGCTCTGCTGGGAAACTTTCTGGGGGACTCCTCTGTGAGCTTCATGAAACCTGGCTTGCTGA